AATTTTATAACAAGAACAGTTTCATTTCGTATAGCAAATTGTGTTATTATATATTATTTTATTCCCCTTACCGCTTTGAATTGCAAATCGATTACATATCAAACTTCTGTACATGTGTTTTTCTCTACTGCCTTTCCATGTGAAAATAATGAGGTCATACTCATGTCACAATACTTCGAAGCTGATGCCATGTTGATGCCATGAGACTGCGAAGCTGAGGCCACGATGATGCCACAAAATAAGAGGCGAACACAGCTTCAATTGTCAATGACGCGAAGCTGATGCCACAATGATGCGATGCTGAGGCGACAATGAAGCCATGCCTATGCGACAATGAGGCCACAAAAGCCAAAGCTTCCGCGAGAACTGTACTGTAGTTAATTCTTCTAGCCATCAAAAATTACCTAAATTCATACCTTAAAATACACATTACTTTATCCTTATAAATTACTGACAGTTCACTGACTAGTCACACACAATTAAAATGAGGATCGTTGAGCATAATAATAAACATAAAATTTAATTACAGAAGAAACAGAACCTCTGCAAGTTATAGAAATAGAAAGGCATTAGGCACAGATCTAGAAGCAGTACCTACACACGAATTGGTGACGTCATAAAATACATGACCTTCAATCGGGGTCGTTTCCTCGGTATATACGAATTGGTATATACAAATTACAATAAAGATACTTAAGACATTACACATAAGGTAAAACAAATCACGTGACAATATAATGATAATAACGGTAATAAATCCTACTAGCTTAACAGTTGAAGAGAACATCAGTCGGGTGACGCCGAGGGTCACGAACTGTGTTGCAAAATGGCCGTGTGGTTGAAACTGGGTCATGGCGTGACGCGTGAGGAAGACATCATTAAACACTCAAAATCACAATAAAACGGGGAAGTGGTTGCATATTACGGCGTAGCTAACATGGGAAATAAAAAAACGCCCAATACAAACGACATGGGTTCGAATCACACTAGATACACACTCACCAGAACCGAAGCAATCAGAAACCAGCAATCGTTTTGGCTTTTCCGTTCAACTCATCGGAACACTGGAGTAGTTAGAAAAATGAACACCACTTAACGACCAACGTCGTGGCGTGGTACACAAGCGTGCCATCAAAATAAAACAAAATTAGCTTGAAAAGACAGTGGGTTCGAGTCCCGCTCAGAGCTACCGTAAAAACGTAAATCAAATAAACTGAAATCTCTCAAACCGTAAACAAGTAAACAAAGAACGTCGCAAAAAAATAATAA